GAAGGAGAAAAAGAAGGAGGAGAAATCATCAAATAAAATATGGATAGATTTAGATTACATAAAAACTTTAACTGCCTGTATACCAAAATGCATTATAAACAGAATGAAACTATGCATAAGTGCACGTCAATATGCATATGTATGTAGACATAAGTACATATCAGTACACATATAATAATTGCACATCCTTAATGATCTCAAACAACTCAGCAGGAAAAAATGAAAAAAGAGCTGGGGTGTAGATCAGTGGTAGAGTGCTTCTTGCCTTGCAAGCATGAGGTCCTGATGACATGTGAAAAACTTCAATCTATCAGAGAAATTCAAAATAAAGCAGCAGGGCAATGCCGTTAGTTAAAAATAAAAATGATGATAATACTCAGTGTCCTCCAGGATGTAATACAAGGAATGTGCATGTATGAACCCAGCTGCTGACAAGTGTAAATTGAATTACTTTTAGAAAGTAATTTGGCACTATGTATCAAGAGCGTTTAAATGTTTATACCTTTTGATTCAGTAATTCTACTTCTGGGAATCTATCCCATGAAAATAATCTGAAATTCAGGCAAAGGTTTCTGCCCAAAGATATTCTTCAAAGTGTTATTATAAACAGACTAGCAGCCAAGTCATTGAATAATGTTTAAATAAATTGTGGTACACATCACACTGTGTTAGAGCCATTCAAAAGTATTCTCAGGGGGATTTTTTAAAGCCCTTGGAATACCTTGTGATATAATCTTAATTATTTTAAGGCCTATATACATATGACATGACTACACATACTTTTAAAGCATAGGTGGAAAATAACTAAAGATAAATCAATGAAGATGTTAAATTGGTGGCCTCTGGGTGGCAGGATGTTATTTTTACCCCGTTTTCAATCTTTAGGCACTAAGCTTATATTTTTTTTAAATAAAAGAAAGGTAAAAGTTAGAAGACTGACAAATAAGTGCTGTGTGAAACACTCATGTGCTCATGAAGATGCACAATGGGATGTGCGTTGTCAATAAACTCTACACAGCTTAAATTGTCCCATAAGTTGAGGGAGACTTTACAGATTTTGGAGTTTGCTGATTATTTTCTGTGATAGGCTGGAGTGAGAGGAATAAAGTCCTAGCTGTGTTTAAATCTCACCTATGATAAGGCCCAGGAAAAAAAATGGTTTGGAAAGGAAGTCACCAAACAAATGTGAAGACTTGTCTTATTAACCTACATACCTATCATAGTTTCTTTTTCATACCTATAACGAAATACCTAAGGCAAGCTACTTTATAGAAAATGTTTGTTTTGATCACAGTTTATTTAGCTCACAGCTGGAAGTTCAAACATGGTGGCACAGGCTTTGGTGAGGACCCCTCTGACTATATCCCATAAGGGTCAGAGCACATGTGAATCTGTCTGATCTCTCTCCCTTTCCACTTAAAACCGGTAAGATTCAGTCACAGGGTCCTGCACCCAAAAGACCTAATCTAATCTAATCATCCCCAAAGGCCTCGCCTCTAAACAGAGTGGGATTAAGTTTCTACCCTCCTACTACCATGAACACATGACTTTGAGGATTAAACTATACAAGACATTGAGAAGGGACACAAGCCATAGTCAAACCATAGCAATGCCTCTGCCCTGAAAGAGGGGCAGAGAAGACAGGCAATGTCACCGTGCTTCCTTCCCCATAATAGAGCCAGCCTGGCCTGCTCATGAGCAGGCAGGTGACATGCTTAATGTGCCCTTAATCCCTGGGCACAATCCAAAGCACCACCTGTAAAGCCCCCATAGTCAGCACCTCAAGAGCGTGCATCCCCTCTGCTCTGTCGGGGAGGTTGAACTTTTCACAGACCAGAAAAGCATTTTACCTCTCAGCTTCCAATAGGACATGACTGACAAGCAGAAACTGATGCACGGGTTAAAACGATAAAATGGATTTGATGTCTCACCTTTTTAAAAAGCATTGTGTCACTCTTTCCTGCTGCTCCCTTTATATTTTGATCCTGTGTGGGTATCTGAGAGTATTTGGAACTGGGCACAGGTGGGCGGCAAGGCAAGTTTCCCTTGTCCATTTCTCTGCACTTAGCAGCTAGAAGTTTCTTGGGAGAAACCTTGTCTTAGGCTGTCTTGAGACACAGATGCAGATTGGGTGGCACTTTTTCCTTCTCTGTAAGGAAGAAAGGAGTTGAGGTGACCAGACCAGGGAACAACAAAGAATGAGCCCCCAAAACAACTCAAAGAACTGAGAATTTCATGTAAAGCTACACTGGCCTTCAGCAGACCGAGGCCTCAGCTTGCTCTGTGATTTCGGCTGGAAGGGGTTTAGAGGGTGTGTTAATTTCCTATCACTTTTGTAACAACTACCACAAATGCGATGGCTTAAAACAACACAAATTTATTCTCTTACAGTGCTGGAGGGCAGAGGTCTGAAGTCAGTTTTATCAGGCATGTTGAAAGGCGTCTGGAATCATGTTTTCACAGGACAGTTCTAAAGGCGCTCTGTCAGGGAGGGCTGACTCCTTCTGGAGACCCTAAAAGAAAAGCTGTTTCCCTGCCTTTCCCAACTTCTCTAGGACTCCTGCAATCTTGGGATCATGATCTCATCCTCTTATTCCTCCAAACTCCTGTTATCATGTCCCCTGCTTCTTATCCTGACTCTTACACACTTGTGTTAAGAAGCTTGGGACCCTATTGGGCCTATCTAGGCGATGCAGGAGGTTCTCTAAGAGCCTTAATCACATCTGCAAAGTCCCTTTTACCATATAAGGCAACATTTGTATTAGGTTCTGGGGACCAGGATGTGGCTATGTGGCGGTCCACTAGTCAACTTGCCCCAGAAAGGTAATCAACTGTGTGGTGAGTCAGGAACCCTTTTAGGAGCCAAGCCTGGATAAGGCTGGGGAAAGGTCAGCGGCTCAAACAGCTTGATGGAGAAGATGTGTTCGCTTGCCCATTAGTTCTAGAGCCAGACTGTGTGGAGCCAAGGTCAAGAGTATAGGGAAGAGGGTGTGAAGATGCCACAGGTAGAATCTGTGAGCTGGACCTGGGTGGACAGAAGGTTATGGGATACATCATCACATGTCTGTCACGTGACTCTGCAGCTCAAGGTCCATGGACAGAAGCAGAGAGAGAGGAAAAAGCCAAGACAGTTGGGTCTAGAACATAGAGAACATGGATAACAGGTTATAGGGGTCACATGATTCTTTGGAAGGATATGGGGCCAGCCCTAGGAGGAGTTACAGAGAATGCCCAGCCAGGCTGGAGGCCAGGCTAACAATGCCAGGTGGCCACCTGTGTCATCTGCTAACTTAACCTTACCTGGACTAACCTGTGAAAGAGGGCACAAAGTCACCTCTGGCATCTCCCTTCCATGAGTCATAGAGGGCAGCTTTGCAGTCTGACAGATTATGTCTGAATCTCACGTACGGGCTATGTGACCTCAGACATGTTGCTGAACCTCTCTGAGCTCAGTTTCCCTACTTAGAGAAATGGGCACTGTTAATACCTATCTAGCTTCCTTAGAGAGCCTGCCGTGCTAAAGCAGACAGAAGAATTCTAGAAGTAAACAGACTGGACATGATATGAGTTTCAGTGCTGTTGTAAAGAGTCCAATGAACCAGAAAATCATGGAATTTTAGATATTTAAAGATTATCTTCCCTGGCCTGGCATAGTGGCACACACCTGAAATCCCAGCTACTTTGGAGGCAGAGACTGGGAGGACTGTGGTTTGAAGTCACCCCAGGCAAAAAGCTAACAAGACCCCACCTCAACCAACAAACTAGGCATGGTGACACAAGCATGTAATATCTACTAGGAGGCTTAGGTAAGAAAATCACAGTCTAAGGCCAATTCTAGGTAAAACCTTGAGACCTTATCTGAAAAATAACTAAAGCCAAAAAAAAACTGGAGGTGTGGCTCAAGTGGTAGAGCCACTTAGCAAGTATGAGGCCCTAGTACAAATCCCATTGCTGAAAAAGAGAAATCTTCCCTGGAGAATTACACATCAGAATAAGCTCAGTCAATTTTGCATCAGGGTTAAAGAAACCCACCTATTTGTGAGGCTCAGGACTTGGGCCTTCCTGAGCCCTGAGGTTGGTAGGAGAGGGTGAGGAGACTGTTGAGGCACCAGCTACCATGGAGAGGGTCCGAGGGTAAGGCAACCATATTAAGAGGGTCACACCTGGTGGTCTCTGTTTCTAGTATTCACAGTAGCCAGTGCTCCCTGCCCTATACCAACCAACAGCTGAGTAGCCAGAGGCAGAGGCACCAACCAGGCCCTTTCCAGGTAGTGCCCAGGTACAGCCATGGATTCAGTAAGGGAGGCTAGGCTATGCTCCTCTCTACAGCTTGGATTTCAAGAGGCTTGAGTGCAGAGACTTACGTGCTTGTCATAAACTGCCTCCTGTCCATTCCCCCCTGAATAATGTGCCTCATCTGAGAATTTAGAACTGAAGCTAATTTAGAGATATACAAGGGCCTTGGTCACACGACAAATTATGGAGGAACCAAGTCCAGGGCATAGGGCCCCATTCTCACAATGGTGTTCTTTGCATTCCACAACAGAAAGTCCCAATGTCTCTAGAAAATAAGTTACTCTGGTGGTAGAATCTGGGGTCGAGAATAGGGGGCAGATACCCTGGACCAGCCCAAATTCAGCCTTGGCAGTAGAGGTGACTGTGAACAGGGGGACTCCACCTGTACATTGTCTACCTGGCACACTGAGGCCATGAGTTTGAGGACCCCAGAGTGTCTGGGAGACAAGAACCAAACCTCAACCACTTGGCTACTCGCCATCACTAGAGTGTGGGACCCCAGCAAGCTGTGCATGAGGAAGGGGTTTGACTTACTCCAGCTGGCCTTGGGTGTGACCAGATCAAGACGCAGGTGTCTCAGTCAGGCTTTGGGATGTGAACGGTAGAGCACGGTTAAGTGCTCCCTATGGCCTGACCACATGGTGGCCAATGTCTGGAGCCACCCAAATTGACAAGGAATGTGTGTCTGTGTGTTCCCCAGGAACGTCCCCTGGCTCCAAGATGGCACTGCAGAGCTCCTTCACCTGTTGGAATGGGACAGTCCTCCAGCTCGGGCAAGCCTGCAACTTCTACCAGGACTGCACCCAGGGAGAAGACGAAGGCCAGCTGTGCAGTGAGTAGATCAGGGCTGCCCCAGCCTACTCCAGCCCAGTCCATACCCAGATGTCCCTCCTGTCTTCACCACCCCAGGCACACAAGCTTGGACAGCCTCCCTGACTTTTGGTGACACAGTGACTGCTCTCCTGGCAATACACAGTGTTCAAGAGACAGAGTAAGATTTGTGGTCTAAAAACAGAGCGCCATGGTCTGTGGACACATACATTAAAAGCCAAACAAATCTTTTAAGTTATGTTGTCAGCATCCTCAATGCCCAGAGAAAATACACAAGGTAAAGCCTAACTCTGTAATGTGACATCAGAGGCCACATTTAACCTCATTTTCCAAGCCCTGTCTTTCAGCCACCACCTGCCTCTCTCATCCTCTCCATCTTCCATGCACCCCAGATCAAGCCATATCAAACCGTTTCACAGCCTCTTCATGTCTCCCTGGCTTTACTCATGCGGTCTGCCCTGCCCAAAACATCCTTTTTCAAGTCACTTCTCCCCCTTTGAGTACGGCCAATTCTTCTAGGAAAGCTCTTCTGACCATCCCTAACAAGTCCAGTTGGTTCTTATTCCTCTGAACCCTTCCTCCTCGACTCCATCTATCCACCCATCCCTGATGGCTTTTTTCATGATTCATAAAATATGCACACATGCAATTCACCCAAATACATATACAAGTCAATGTTCCTTAAGATAGTTAGAGTCGTGCAACCATTTCCACAGTCAAACTGTAGAACGTTTTTATCACTCCAAGAAGAAACGCCTTGCAACCTTCCCCTTTTCCCTCTGACTCTCCTGCCACTAACTCTGACCACCAACCATCTTTCTGTTTTTATAAATTTGCCCATCTGGGCATTTCTTATTAACTGAGTCATGTAATATGTGATTTTTGTGATTAATTTCTTTCACTTAGCATAATCTTTTTGAAGCAAATTCACACTGTGCATGTATCAGTGCTTCACTTCTTTTTATTGCAGAATAATGTTTCATTTATGACATGCCAACATTTCTTCTCATCTTATAGTTTGTGGCCATTTGGATCGTTTCCCTTTCAGGGCTGCTGTGAATAATGTTGCTATGAATACTTACAAGTTTTTGAGTAGACATATGTTTCCAGCTCTCTTGGATTTATACCAGAACTCCTGGGGTGTGTAGTAACTCTACAGTTACCAGATTGAGAAACCACCAAATCTTTCTCCAAATGGTTGCACCATCTTACATACCCAACCCCAGTTTCTTCATCTCTTTGCCAACACTTGTTTTGATCTGTTTTATTTTGAGCCATCCTACTAGGCATGCATCCATTATGTTTTGTGGAGGTGGTTTCCATGTCTCTCTTCTCAATGATCAGATTGAGTCTGCTCATTTTTCCGGTCCCACTCTCTCTCATAAGTCCTGGCACATCGTGTGTGCACACTGACTGTTGATCAAAATGAATGGGTGAGTTGGGATCATTGAGTTCCATAAAGGAAAACAACCTTTTGTGGCCACACCAATAGCTGGGGACAGATTAACTCTCTCCTCTAGAACACCATGTGCCCCAAGCAGCTGCCTTACCAGAAACCACCACTCCAGCACTCTCTATGTTTTTGCCAGGGAAACCACAAACACTTAGAGAACACCTGGACTGAGCCAGAAAATATGCTAAATCCTGGAGCAGAGGTGAATTACAAGGTTTCTGTCCTCAAAGTGCCAAAAACCCAAGATAGGCACAGAGAACAAAGCGGTAGAGCCTTGATTGGGAAAGAGCAAGGCAGAGTTGTGCCTGGGTTACTGTGCCTGGCCTGGACCACATGCCTCACTTCTCAGACACGCAGGTCACAAGACACCACTGACCTGTAAGGAATTTTGGAAAATAGCTTTAAAAGCTTAACAATGTCCCCCAGGTCATCTGGCACCCTTGGGGATTAGAAAACTTTTATTATAGGAAGCCTTCAAATGAAGTTTTCCAATCGTAATGGAATTGTGGTCTGTTTTTTGATAAAACTCCATGAAGAGTTGCAGGGAGGCACCTGGCTTGTCCAGCAGTCTTCTGTTCCTGGTCTTTCTCACAGAGTTTTCACTATGCACCTGGCAAAATGCAGCCAGGACCGTCTACAGTGCCCTGGGCAGTGCCTTGTGTGTGTCTCTCTCTAGTTATTTGTGTCTGCGGTGTTTCTAACAGGGCCTCTGAGCTGTGCAATTTTTGCAATTACCTTTTCAAAGATTTTTGATACCCACTTCCCAGGTGGAACACAGGTCAGGCAGGCCATGCCCAGATTTACAATTGGGAAAATGAAGGCACAGAGAAGGTAATTGATTTGTTCAGGGTCACACAGCAAGTCTGGGACAGAGCTGTGATTAGACCACTAGACTTTGGTATCCAGCCCATTACTGTGGGCTCAGGGCATTTTTCCACCCCATTGGGGCTTGCCATCATGTATTTCCAGGGCCAACTCCAAGCTTCAAGGCAGCCCAGCTTGGGTACAGAGGTCAGGAGCTTGGTGCCCAGTGACCTTTTCAGTCTCATTTGAAAAGCTGCTCTGACCAACTGTCAGAATGACAGCTCCACCCTGCAGAACACCCCCACTGAATCCTTTGCTATAGAAATCAGAAACTGGTTGCTAGGAGGGGAAGTTTAACTCAAGAAGAGAGTTACTCCAATCTTTTTCCCACTCTGATCTGGGCAGAACGCTTAGAAAATACCCTTTTCCTTATTTGTGTGCCCCGTCCTCTCTGACATTTTTCTGTTTTCCCTGTCACTCTTGACAGTGGAAACCATTCCCATGAAAAGAGTAACAAAAGATCGGAGAGTCTCTCTGTTCCATTCCAGGAGCACTCCTCAGGTATTAACCCATCTTATGGTCACAGCAATGCTAGGTGAAACCATCAAACCCATCTCAGACATGGAAGCTAAAGTTATTGTCTACGATTAACTTTCACCCAGTGACTGAGCAGTGGTTCACACTCAGTCTGACTCCAGAGCCCATCTTCTGCACCATGGCCAGCCAACACTCATCTGTTGTACAAGTCTCCAGTATTTAGCTTTGCCAAGCAGTAAACCTGGCTGCAGACTCACCCAGAACAAAAGGGCCAGGAAAAGCTAGGGAGACCCAGAGCTCTACTACCACCTTTCTGTGAAGGAAGGAGAGGGGTTAGATCAATGGCCTCCACCCTGTGGTCTCCATTTTCTCGTCTGTAAAATTATACCTGTTGACACCCTTGCATTTCAAATTAAAAGCGTTGATGAATCTAAGCCAGATATCCCACGTGCTATAGCCCTTTGAAGGGTGTCTGCTAAATTCCCTGTGTGTCCTGACTGATAGTCTGACTGATAGCATGTGGTTCCCCAGAAAGGGGCCAGAGTCCCCTCTTCATCCCATGGTTGGTCAGTGACTCACTGACTCTTGCAAGCAGATCATCTCCCCTCATAGGGCTCAATAATTTCATCTGTTTTGTGGTGATCCTCCTCCTGTCAGGAAAAACAGTTTTCCAAAAGTTTATTTCTTTGTTGTAAAATAAGACATGCTGGTTGTAAAATACTGGGGGAAAAAAGTCTAGAAGAGTGCACAGGAGAAAATACTTTGCCCATAACCCTCCCTCTCAGACATGCAGAGATAACCATAATATTTTGATGTATTTCTTCTAGCATTTTCCCCATGACTCCATCTTTTCAAGGAAATGGATAACACATATTTATCAAAAATGTTAACAGCGTTGTCACACAGGAAGGAAAAGAAGTAGTGTCGTTTGGCCTGGAGTTTACACTTGGCAGCTCTCACAGCTGTGGCTGGGGTCACATCTCTATGACTCTACTGATTTGTCTCTCTTAGAGTGGAATCAGGTGTCATAATTGCCAAATGTGGGGAGATTGATTGACTCACATACAGTCCGACTTGCCACTGAGCCAATGAAATACCTGGCTATCCCCCAAGAATGTGAGCTCACATAAAGGTCCCCACAAATTACCTGGAGAGCTCACTAAAAATCCAAATTCTGAATCACTTGGCTACATAGGGCCTGAGATTCCGCACTTCTCACAGCATCACTAGAATTGGCAGTTTCCTGGACCCCATGAGTGACATGGGGTTAAAGAAATGAACCTACTCTCATTTCATTCAGCAAATAAATTTTGAAGTCCTACAATATGCCAGCACTCAGTAGTGCTAGGGGTGAATGAGAAGAGAAGAGAATCAAAGGATGAGTTGACACCATTAGATCCAACTTTATGGGCCAACCTTACACGCTAGTCTTATCAATAATTTCCCCAAGTTTAGCCTAATCCACCAGCAGTCTTTGTTTTGACCTCTGCTCCCACCAGCTCCTTCCAGAGTGGCTTCTTGCTGAGCATGCTGCCCTGTTGGGCTTAAAGTAATAGAAATCCTCTCAGGTCTCCTTCCTCCCTTCAAGATTTAATTGTCACATAAATTGGCTATTGACCTGACCAATGATCTAGTCTGCCTCCTCTCCCTTTATTCAATCAGCCAAAAAGAAATGGAGTTTCCAACCTCCATTCACCCTGGATCCTATGCTAGCGGGGTTAAGGATGGGCTTCCAGAAGATGCCAATGGCTTTCTTCATTCTTGTCCCAGTGGACGACACAGGCAGAGCTGCTACCTAAGCAGTCCTCATGAGGCCTCTCCAGAGAGGCAACCATGATCTGACTCTGCCCCTGGCAGAGTAGTGCTGACTGTTTGAGCCCCTACCCTTATGAATTCGCTTAATTCAGGTGTGAATGGTAATTAATAATACCACTAACACTTTCTATTTGCATATCTCTCTGGCAGTTTACAAAATGTTTCCATGCCCTTATTTTGTCCTAAAACCGATGCTATGAAATAAATATGAATATTCTCCCATTTTACACATGAGGCTCTAAGGGAAGAAGTGACTTGCCTGAGGCCACACAGCAGGAAGTGGCAAGGCTGGGATCTTAGCCCCTGGGTCAGGATTCCAGTACCAGTACCTGTAAGTCAGTTCTCCCTCCACCTCCTAAAAGGGCCCGGAGTGAGGGACATGCTGTGCAACCCCTGCTCAGCCCTGTCTCCTTCTTCGACCAGCCCATGGAATCTTCCATTGTGATCCTTGGTTTTTAAAACACACTTGTGAAGGACACCCCGTGGAAGGTCACTTACAGACACCAGTTGGTTTCTGCAAAAGAAGTGGATTTAGGATCCCTTGAGGGGGGAGTAAAAAATAAAACAGAAAGATTTCCTTAGCTTTTGGATTTTTAATCAGAGGTACATGTGGGGCTTGGGGGGAAATGATTTCTTCAGGGGGGTATAAATGGGAAGCGATGCTCAAAGTCAGTGACAGCCTGCTTTAATTTATAATTCTGCCTCTGTGTGAAATGCACAGAGAATCGAGGGGAAATGAGTAATAATTCACTAAGGTGCTGTCACAGCCAGGAAGCATTAGGGCACTCTTTGTCAGTCTGCTGCTGCCAAGGGCTGAGACAGAGGAAGGACATGGAGAGCTGTGGATCTCAGCTAGAGAGCTCCTTCCTGCTGTGTGGAGATGTAGCCCTGCTGCTTCCTCACATCTTGTCCTGGAGCTGTTGGGTGTTACTGGAATAGCCCACTAGCTCTTCAGGCTGAGAGCCTCCCTGAAGCCATGCTAAAAGGAAGATGAAGAAAGTGAGCTTTCTTTAGGCCCTCTTCTTTCTTTCTCCTCCTCTTCCTCCTCTTCCTCCTATGGGCAACTGGGATATACGTGGTCTAGAAAGCTGAATGTAATCTCTTCATTGGGACCTGAGATCAGTCTGGTGTGAGGAAAGTATTATGGTCCTTTCCTGCTGAGCCAACAGATTACACAGAAATCGCAGTGATTGGGATCTCTGAACAGGATAGACCAGGTTATGGTGCAATGGTGAGCCATCCCAAAACTTTGGCAGCTTAAGATAACATTTACAGCACCTGTACATGAGTCACAGTCTCACCCCACATGCCCCAGTGGCCGGTCAGGACCCTAAAGGATGCTCAGACACAGGACCACCAAGGTACCATCCTTCTCTTTTTGTGTGGAGCAAATGCTCCACACAATCACTCAGGAACCCAGGCTGGCAGAGGCCCCTCCCTCATAATAGCAGGAATAAGAACTCCTTGCTTGGTAAGCCAGGGAAGAGAGACACTGATGACACATGAGGGCTCTTAAAAGCCTCCATCCAGAGGAGGATGTTCCATTCACATTTCATTGCCCCAAACTAGTCATATGGCTTTTCTTAACTTCAAGGGAAATAAAGGCGAGAAAATGGAAGGTTTTGAATGATGTGTGTCGTGTCTCTGCACACACCCAACTAACACTCTCCCTGCCACCACCATTAAGAGTCTATCACAACCATTAAGAATGTATTCTAGAGAATTATATGTTGCCTTCCTCTGAGTCACATTCATGATGGATCAGTATCAAGAGCACAGAATTGTGAGGCAGACGATCTGAATTCTAGCCCCAGCTAGATCTGGTATCAGTTATCTGTCTGAGCTTGTTCAGGTTGCATTTCTGAGCCTCTGCTTTGCTATAAATAAAACTGGGCTAACAATAGCAATGCTGTGGAGTTGTTATTTTTACTGTTTTCTTTTACGAAGTTCAGAACATTGTAAAGCAGCACATACACAAGCAGTGACTTGGGTATTTCTCTTCATTGAGATCCGTTTTGTTAGCCATCAGCATCTGACTGGGGAACCATTACTAGTGAGGATAATTTGGTCATGCCTAGCTACTTTGGCTTGTTGTTGTCATCGTTTGCCTTTAACAGTCCTGGCAATGACTGTGTACCTGTGCTCTCTCCACAGGTAATCTTCCTGCTGGTTTTTACTGCAACTTCGAGGATGGCTTCTGTGGCTGGACCCAAGGCACACTCTCACCCCACATGCCCCAGTGGCAGGTCAGGACCCTAAAGGATGCTCAGACTCAGGACCACCAAGGTACCATCCTTCTCTTTCCTTCTCCCCGGTACCTTCCCTGATGTCCATGTGGACAAACTTAGAGCCCCATTATAGAGGAGCTGGGCTTCACCCCACCCTGAAATATCCTTGTCCAAAGCCTACTTAAAGTGCTCATATATAGTCCTCTTTTCCTTCCTTCTTAGACTTTAGAATTATTAAATCCAGCCAACTGGATTTAACTGAAAGATAACAGCAATAATAATAATCCATCCTCTCAACCTCCCATGGTAGGTTGAGGTCCTGCCATGTCTCAGGCACATCATTCATTGAGAGATAGGGAAAGCCATAATGTTCTTATTGACTGGGGACACTGAGGCATACTGAGAGCTTGTGTCTTTTGTCTAGGCTATGCCCTGGGAAGCTTACCCCACATCTGGTTCATTCCCTAGAGCCCAGCCTCCTTAACCATCCCCTTACCCTCACCCCTGATTTCATCTGTAGCTCTTGTCCTCCCCTCTGTGGAACCTCGACATCACTACCCCTGACTGACTGCCAGAGGAGTCAAGGGCTTCCACACATGCAAAAGATGGGCACCCCCACTTCAGTAAGCTGATTCCAAACTCAGAGACACCAGAATGAAAGGACCCTCAGAGAGGGTCCACAAGGCCAGCTCCCAATGTCAGGCTGCTAGAGAGGCCAGGCCATTCAGCCATGGGTCAGCCTTAGGCTCTCCCCAGTGGCTAGACTCAAACAGGTCCTGGTGCCCATCTCTGGGCAGGACAGGGCTGATGGGAGATCTCTCTCCTGCTTCCCTCCTCTGCATGTGCCTTCTGTTAATGGAACTCGAAATCCTCTTACCAAAACCCCTCCCTTTCCGAGTAAAGATTACACATCCTGTGGGTTAAGAGATCATAATAATAATAAAAAGTGTGGGAGAGGACAACATCCAGATTGGCCATGATGGATCCCAGAGCCTACGCAGCTCTGTTTTCAGTCTTCAGAGCTGGCTGCAACAGAGTGAGTTGGCTTTGGGCCAGGATACTCTCACAGATACCGCATTAGAAGGAAGGCTGAGTTCTAAACCACAGGAGAGTTCTGCAGGGGTCCCTGATCAGGTGCAGAGGGACCAGGAGCAACTACTTCTTCTCCAGGTCTCCTTACTAAAAGGCATCATCTTAGCACCCTGTCTACAGAAGGGGCAGAGAAGAGAGAGGGAGCTTCAAGCCAGACAAGAACTGCACATCTGCTACTAGGGGCTAGTTTGATAATGCCCCTCCCCCACCAGCATAGCAAATAAATATCCAGCCTTGTTGGATGCCGCTAGCATTCCTGCTCTGTCTCCTGGAATAGCCCACCCATTGTTTAACAGATTTGGAACATAGAACCCTTGTCCTTGCCTCAAGGCAAGTTCTACCTCTCCATGAATACTTCTCACAAACCATAGATTTTTCTGCTGGAACCACTTAGAACTAAACTACTCCCTGTCCCAGAATGACAGGCCTTCAAACATTTGAAGACCACAGTTGTTACCCACCTGCCTACATGACAGCAGTTCTTTCCCCAGTCATCCAACCCCAGTTCCTTGAATCTGCTTTGTGCTTGCTCAGATCTCTGGCCTGCACTGGCAACTCTGCTCTGGACCCACCCAACTTGTTACTTGTAGTAACTTAATAACATACTTTCTTAAGAGATGGGGTAAGTCATGCTTGGAGTTCTGTGGCCCCCTAAAAAGATGTGAACTCATTCCAGCTCCCATCTCCACAATACTGACCATCTCTAAAATGCTCTGGGGCTCCTAGACATTTAGAGATGTTTGTTTCTTGTCACCAGCGTTGGTTGGAAACTCATGGTCTCCAACTTTTCAGACCCAATGGCATTGGGAAAACACAAGAAATAAGTGTTGCTGGGCAGAGCCTGGGCCACAGGATGACCTCAGTTCTGGAGCAGAGAGAAGACAGCCATGATTGGAGAGCAAGTGCTGCTATGACTGGCAGTGGGGAGGTGTGGCCTGGGAGTCCAGCCTACTTTAGGCTGCTCTTGGGTTAAAAAAAAATGATGACATTAGGGTATCGGGGAAGTGGTAGCCAGATGCATGGTGCTGAGATTTCCTAGGCAGTTAGCTAACGGCTCTGAAACGCAGACCAGTTTTAGAATTCAGGTCTTAACATGAGCCAGGTGTGTTGAAAATAGCAACTGGACTTCTTTATCCACTGTAGACCAGAAGCCAGTGTCCTCAAAAATGTTTCTAAGCTAAATAAAAACCATGCATAGTCCACTAACTCTGTATCCCTGAGGACCTCAGTTCATGACGATGGTGGCATTAGTGACTCTTCCTCTCTCCCCCAGGCCACGCTCTGCTGCTCAGCACCACTGATGTCCCCAATTCAGAAAGTGCCACAGTGACCAGTGCTACATTTCCTGTACCAATGAAGAACTCTCCTTGTGAGGCAAGTCTCAAAGTTCCTCTGGCTCTCTGGTTTCTCCTCCCACCTCTTGGTCACATCCAATGAACCCAAACAGATTGATAAATTAGCCTGAACGGTTGAGCTGGTTGCTCTCCCAGTGGGAAGGCATTTTGTCATGTTTTAGACAGATTGCATTCACCAACCTGATAAAGTCCCATCTGAGATAATCTTGCCTTGAACACCACATTCAGCTGCACTGAATATTTGTAGTGGAATCTTGATTAAGCCCACCCTGAGAAGGCATAACAGGGGTGGGTAACAATGGTTTACAAAACTTTCTACAGAATCCTTTTTAAATACTATCAAGCTCTTACAATACCTTTCAACTATTATAAAGCATCAAAAATTGGACTTACATAAATTTCACTAACACATCCATGGCATTCTATGAGGTACTCCAAAGCCACTTACCCAAATGGTTCCTGAAGCAGCCTGGAGGTTGACACCATTTTCCTTAGCATATGATTCTATTCTCTAGAGGTCAAGAAATGCACTTAACATCCCAACATGGCACAGTGATTAAGCTCATGGACTCTAGAATCAATGGCCTGAGTCGTTCCACCTTGACTGGTTGTACTCACAGGGCCTCAGTTTTCTCACCTGGAAAGTGGAGCAGCTATTCATGCCTGCCCCAAAGAGATGAGGATTAAATATGTTAATGTAGGTAAATACCATAAAACAGCACTGGCACAAAGCGAGCACTACTACAGTTAACCAGCAGTGTCTAGAACCCTGTATAAATACTCAAAAGAAGAGTGGAGGAAGAGGACTTTAGCCAAAATTCAGACTCTAAGCTCTCAGAGGGTAGCTCGTGCCTTGGGCTCTTTGTGCTCCCTGTGGCACCTGCATCTACCTCTTGCCCACAGTAGAAAGCCAGTAAGTTTAGATTTGGCAGTCCTCTCCTTCTGGAAACTCACGGAGAAATTTGCCTGGCTTAGTTTCAGGAATAACTATGCACCCTCTGAACAATTTGTTTCCTTTCAAATTGTGGACTTTATGAAACCCCTCAGCTTCTCTTCCACTCCTTTGGCTGGGAGAAATTCCAGGGAGAACAGCTTTGGCCAGCAGAGGTACAGACAATAGGATACCCTTGCAAGGGACAAAATTCAAGCCCTTCAGGGTTCTTGTGAAATAAAAACTCAGACACTCAGACATATGCAAAGAAGAATGGAAAAGATGCACAAATGAATTTTTTAAATCAGAAGAATGGCTAAACTAAAGCTGAACTGCTCCTTCTCCCCTTAGCAAGCAAATAGGACTTCATGGTGTGCAGTTTGTAGCTGCCTTGCTCCTGGCTTGATTTTATAACCCAACATTTGCCCCCATCTTTCCTACCCTCTTCTAGTTTATGTTATCTTACTAGATTTTATGTATCACTGAGACACCTTAAATCCTTTTTGGAAGAAGTCTGGGCAGAAATAAATAGATACATTAAACTAAATTGTATTTGAGAAACCATGCTATCTGATGCAGATGGTGAAATTACACAGTCATTGTTGATATTTCTCAGATGCCTCAAAGCAGGTACCAAGAAAGGAAGTCTTCTTAAGAGGAAATCTTCTGAGGGCAGATGGTTGGCCCACCTGAGAGGACAGGAGAATCCTTAAGAGCATCTGGTCTTTAAATTTATTCTTTAAATTTATTCTTCACTGGATTTAATATGAGCCTAATTTCAGAAAAAGAAATGTCAAGGTAAAAGTGGTATTTTTCTAATACTCCATTACTTCTCTAATAACCTTTGAGTTGATCAATAGCTGAAACAGGTGTTTTCTTTTGCTTTATTTTTCCTCCAATCAAATTTACTCTATGTTATTTCTGCTATTTCCTGCCCTTTGCCAGAATTTGGCTGAGCAGGCACGGTGAAGGGAAGGGAGCACCTTCACATCATTCACGCTTATAGATGTTTACATTCACATTGTTCCCCACTCAGGTTTTCAGACCATTTGTCTAATACTGAGGGACCTTGGAATTCCCAATGTTGGAGCATTGCTTTTATCCAAAAAGATGAATAACCAAAGTTGAAATATGCATTTCCAGGTTGGTAAGCCCACCACTTATGGTATCCTAATCCTCAATGCAGAAGTCAGCAAGTTGATTTCCTTCTCCCAGGTTGGCCAAACTCGAGTGGCTGGGATAGATAACCATGAGATTATCTCAAGCCTTCAAAGCCACTCACACTAAAGGAGCCTCCACAGGCTGTGTACCCTGAGTGCAGGAAGGTAGGCACTAGATAGAGCTATGGGTGGAGACCCCTGATGAGGATGGTCACCCTAGACTCCAGAGCTGATGCCCACCATGGAGCATGCTCACTAAACCCAGACCAGTCCTGATAAACAGGAAGTTAGTGTTTGGCAGACTATCTCAAAATGTTCCCTCAAGATGACCCACAATCTCAGTGGATTCCTGCAGGAGAACTGGGGTTTTCCATGAATTTCCTTTGAAATCTAGAAGCCAGTTAACTAGTAAATTTGTGTTTCTCCACTTGCAGTCCCCTGGAACATATGATAAATGGGAATTCTTGGGCCCCACCCTTGACCTCCCAAATGACATCACTAACTGGGGCTGGGACTCTGCAGTTTTGAGCCCAACCCTTGGTGATTTGGTTGCATACTGAAACTTGAGGTTTATTGACTGTAAGTGTGCTTGCCAGTGATGACCAAAGTTCATTCTGAGCCTACGCAGTTTCCCATTGGCCCCAAATAGTGTGATGTAACCTGCCTTTAAGAAACATGAGTCAGAAAAGGGACTAGAAATGATGGGGTATGAACAGATGTGAAGGAGACAGAGAGGACTGGGAGAGCCAAGTCTGATACCCACCAACAATGGAGACAGCCAGGGTGCACCTTGTACCAATCCAACATCCAGAGCACTCCAGAAGTACACCAGCTCCCACCTCTTCTGTCCAGCCACTGCTGCCACCTCTCCTCTGCCAGCCACTGCTGCAGGCGCTGCCTGCTCCCTCTCTCTGCACAGTTGCACACGGGGCATGAATATTTAAAGACCTCTGCCTAGCCCAGCTACAAACAGAGAGAGCATTGTGGCTTTTTTTCCTTCCCCCTCCTCCCCACAAGCTATTCTCTGCAGGAAACTGGGGAGTCACTTACACTATATTCTGATTTTATTTTTATTTTTATTTCGCCAAGCTCCAGTTCAAATAATTAAAGTTGCCACGGCAGAGGGGAGTCTTGTGGTGGCTTTCATGTGCTCACTTGTCATCAACGTCAGACCTGCTCGAGTCTGCCTTGGCTTTGAGACACACTCTGATGTGTGTAACATTGCAGACTGGAGAGTGGCAGGGGCTGTCTCTGCCCCTCCCCCTGCCTTTCACACATTCTGGAAGCCTGACTGTCTCAACAAGCCCCATGTGGTTTGAAATTCTGTTTTATTTGAATAGCCTGCCTGTGACTAGAATAATTTAAACCACGTTCTCAGACCAAGACAAGGACAGGGGTTGGGAGAGTGAAGGGGGTGTGGGCTTCCCTCCTTTTCTTTCCCCTCACAGTCAGTTCTCCTCCTGTGAGCAGCAGGAATGCAAGAGCCCCAGGAAGTGGCATATGAACCACCAATTTTTGTGATGGTCAGTTCATAGCTGCTGGTTTCCTTACCTTGCCAGAGCTATAACCACGTCTCCTCTGTCTTTTCACACACACACACACACACACACACACACACACACACACACACAATGACATCCTGGAACACAGCTGGACCTTCCCGCCCTGGCGTCAGCCCAAGTGATGATAAGAGTTGGCTTTGATTAGCTGCTGGGTTTGTTGAGTTCAGGGCAGAAGGCGAGCCGTCAGGCTCCACCAGGTCTGCATGGACTAGCTGGCCTGGAGGAAGGAGACCCACACTTTGTTTCATTAAAGCCAGCAAATGTGGCCCACAGAGACATGGGGAGAAGACTGGCATGTGGAATTGACCTCTGCCATCCATTAAGCCTGGCCAAAGCCCCTGGAAAAGGAGTCCCCTATGGTGCAGACCCCTAAAGGCTAGAGCCCATGGAATTTTTTAGCGAATTTTTCTCTGGTTGATTTTGTAAGACTTTTCAGGGTGCTGGTTATCATTCCTGGAAACAAGCCCTTCCTTTCTCTCCAGCCTTTCAGTGTGAGTCAGAAGCAAAATAAGGTGAAGTCACTGTGTTGATTGGGCTCATTCAAGCTTGGCCCCACGTCCTTCCCGCAGGCAGACAAATAGGACTTTCAAGTGGGGAAAAGAGAGGAACTTTTCTGACTGCTGTGTTTTTAAAGTTTATTGAACTCAATGGCAAAATTCCCTGGGGAAAGGCAAGAAGAAGATAAGGGTAATAGTCATTATTGTAAGGTAACTTGAGGTGGGGAGGGGCTCTGCCCTCAGCAGCCCCCACCAAACCCTCAACAAGGTGGGGCTGGGAAGATGAGTAGGCATTTTTGATTCAGCTCACTTTATGGAGCAGATCATACATGTCAGGGGCTTTCCCACACATGATCCATGTTGAGATGTAAGCTGGCTGCCTGTGGAGATAGGCGCAGCTTATCTTGGCAAGGCAGGGAAGAAATGTACTCAAGACCCAAACCAGCAAACACAAATCAAGACCAAACCTAGACCTGTGACTCTGAACGTCATGCTCTTTCTATTATGTGGCCCTGTAGGCCACAGGGCTCCTTCTCAGCATAGGGTGAGTTGATGGGTTTCAACAGCATCAGGCAATACAATCAACTCACTCAGGCCACCCGCTGTGAATTCCTCACCTCCTCGGGAGGCAGAAGGGCAATACCACCCTGTTTGTAACCAGAGGGACATTGCAACTTGTCCACAGGACTCAAGTGCTATTTGTTCATTATGTGCCTTGTTCTTGGCCCCACGTGGTCTAACTAATGTTGACCGATCTGGAAGGAAAAGCACCGCAAATCCTCATGGGCTTGGTCCTGAGTAAGGTTGTTGTTTTGATATCCAGTCTACCTTTCTGCAGAGGACACGTGTTCATGTAGGGAAAAGGAAGC